CTTCAAAAGAGAATTCCAGTTAATGTTTGAACAGTGATTATATTATTGACATTACTGTTCAATCTGCTATTGTCACCATTTCAAAGGGATGACTCAGATAAATTTAGAAAATCAGAGAGATTCAGTCATACTTCTAATCTTGAATGACTCATAACTAAGCATTACAACCTAACATTTTGACTCTGAATGTAACACTCTGCAAGCAACATAGTTGGGTTTTAACAAGGACTTTCTTGAAAAGCTGCTTATTCTGAAGAAGTGAAACCAATGATTAGCAACGATACGATAATGCAAAAAAACAAAGGAAAACACAACAGGATTTAGAGGCCAGCTTGTCTGTCTTTTCAGCTGCATAAACTTAGAAAAACGAACTCAAATTTCCTTGGCTTTAGTTTGTCATGTATAAAATGGGAAAAGAACTGTTTTAAACAATTGTGTTTAGGATTAAAGGAAATAATGCAAGTGCAGCATCTTCATGTTTATGTGGCATGATTACCACTTTGCTAAGTAATGGGACATTTCAGACAGTCCAGAAGGCCAGAGGGCTGGATATATCTGTGGAGAGACTTTAAATCAATGGATAAAAGCACATATTTGTCTCATTGCATAACCCCATACTTCTTTAGTTTGGATCTGTGATTTCTTAGTTATATCTACCCCCCACACACACACTTTTATTGAGAAATAATTGACAAATGTCACTGAATAACTTGAAGGTGTATATAGCATGATGGCTGGATTTACTTAAGTTGTGCATCAATTAACATCCATAATCTCATACAGATAAAATCAAAAGAAAAAATTCCTCTATGTGATAAGAGTTCAGAAGATCTACCTTGACAACTTTCCTATATAGCCAGCAGCAGTGTTAACCATACTAACATGTTGTAGATGACATCCCTAGTGTTTATTCATCTTGTAGCTCAACATTTGCTCTACCTCCCTCCAACCCCTCCACCAAAATGCTCTGCACCTCCCCACTTTGGCAACCAGTTTGATTTTTTTTTCTCTCAGCATGGGTTTTTTGCTTGTTTTTTAGATTTCACATAAAAGTGAGATAATATTTGTCTTTCTCTGCTTGACTTATTTTGCTTAACATAATGCCTGCATGTTCATCCACTTGTCCCACATGGTAGGGTTTCCATGTTTATGTCCATTAAACAAGGAATAAATATTAAGCTCCTTAGAAAGTTTATTCTATAGATACATGGGCTTGTTTTACAAAGGACAGTATATGTCTTGTTTAAAATATCAAACTTTTCTAGTTCACAGTCACATATATTTTTTAAATAATATAATAGTTCATTTTTACATCATTTTGTGCATTTTTTCATTTCAGTGTAATCCCCGTGGGCTTCCCATCACCAAGTCACCCATGTGCCATCACCATAATCCAGTGTATTTCCTTCCCCCCACTGTTTTTGATCCCATCCCTCACTCCACCCCCATAAAATGTCTCTGGTATATAGTTATTCATTATTATTATTATTTTCTCTCCCGGCCCATTATACTCCTGCTGTGATTGAAACTATCTGGTATTTTTCCTTTTCTTTCTGGCTTATTTCACTAAGCATGATCTTTCCCAGCTTCTCCATGTTGCTGCAAAAGGTTTATTTATTTATTTTTTTGGTTACTGAATAATATTCCATTGTGTATATGTACCACATCTTTTTAATCCAGTCCTCTACTTTTGGGCAATTGGACAGCCACATGTTTTGTTTTTTTTTTTTTAAGTCAAGTATATTGTGGACATTTGAGTGGCAGAATATACAGAAAGATGAGCACTGGATAAGGAACATGGCTTATGTATTAAGATTTATTTATTTATACAAAACTGGGGTCTAGGCCAGAGGTGCAGGGTTGGTGAGAGGATTCACCAGAGGCAGAGTAGGGAGCAGAACAGGCAGACTGACTGAAGTACATTGCTGAGGGGAGCAGCAGGAGGGTCAAGAAGGGTCTGCTACACCATGTGGGTCACCTCCCTGGCTGGGAATAGAACTGTCTCTTAAGCTGCTGCTGTGAGTTTCACAGGGCTGCACTTTCATCCATTGTACCACCAGGGAGGGCCCTGGAACATGGGTATATTTATATTCCTATCCTGTTAGCACTATTGCTGCCTTTGTGACCTAGGGAAAATCATGTGTCCTTTGTCAGCTTCACTTTCTTCAACAGGAAAATAGGTAGACAATTTTGTTCTGTAGTTTATCTCATATTTATGTTAATACCCAATGAAATAATAAACACTTTAGAAATTATTAAGCATCCTGACAATGTCAAATATTTTTTAATTGAACCTAACCATAATAAAACACATAAACATTCATGCATCAGTAAAATTATGTATACAAATTTTTTTAGCTTCACTATCCTTTATAATTTTCCTTTATAATATGCCCTTTATCACGGAGAAAACAAAACTCCTTGTTTTCTGAGACGCAGCAAATAGTAATGAATAGACAGCGTGTCTAAACCTTGGGTTCCCTGCAATCTAAATCCTATTTTTGCTATTTATAAACTTTACAACTTAGGGCACATCTCTTGCATGCGCCGTACCTTTTCTTCATCACCTCTCAAATAATGGAGGTTATTAATTTCCTTCCAGTTTTATAAACTTACATGGGCTTTCCTTTAAACCATCACCTTAGTTCTCCTTAGACAGTTAGCTGCAAACTTTCCTTTTTACAAATATTAATATAGTACTCATTATTGTACCTGGTTTGCATTCTGCAGTGAGGGCTTTTATAGAAGAAGAGATGTTCTTAAATATCAATATTAAGTTCTTAATTACAAAAGCTACTATCAAGGAAGAAATAGCAGGGGTGGTATATATGGTTTGTTTTCTAATGCATTTGACCCTCATTTTTATTATTGAGTCAATATATTTGTCTTTCAAAGAAAGTATTTTTTCCCCAATGAGATATTATTTGAAGTTTAGAGGGGCCAAGCTTTTGCTATGTGTTATAAAAGAACTTGCTTAAAACTACATCAGATAAACAAAATAGTAGCAGTTGTCAAATGCTTTTATTGTTGATAAGACTGGTTATCCAATATACTTGGCATGGTCACATAATAGGATCTTTTAGACACATAGCCTTGATTTATTTTTATTTCAGTGAGTGATGATAAAGATGGCAAGACATAGAGGTAAAAATATAACCCAGATATTCTTAGTGATCACATTTAAACCTCTGTTTTGGTAAGTAAAAGAAGTAAAGATATAATGCTCTACTCTTAAAAGATGGTTGGTTATTTGTCTAATAATTATGGTGATTGTTGATTAATTAGCCCTTTTGCTTTTCTTATTCTTCCTTTTTTAGTTATTTTTGAGTAGTTTTTATTTACCAGGTAAGAAGAGAAATACAAAAGCAAATTTATTGATTACACTGCTTGACCATCTTCTTGGTAAAAGAACCATTTGTGGTTAAAAATCAGGATTTCAAAAAATATTTATACTGTATTTTACTCTTAAATTTTTTCATTAGAAACAATATTCTATTCACATACAAAATAATAAAAGCAAAATGTCATATTCTCCATTCTTTTCTTTAAATATACATGATTGCAATTAGTAGTTTTGAGTCTTTCCAAACTCTTTTCCATGTATTTGTCCACACAGGCTATTTGCAAATGTATAAGAATGACTGTTACATATGTAGGGGTAAGCTATAAGTGTGGCATTTTAATATTTTCATTTTTAAATTAATAATATATCTTGGAGATTTTCAGTGCAAAATTATCTTTAATAGTTGCATAGTATTCCATGGCACCATATGCATTATGGCTTATTTTTTCTTCCCCTTCTTTTATTTATTTATTTATTTATTTATTTATTTATTTATTTATTTATTTATTTTTCTTCCCCTTCTTGAGAGTTATTTAGGATTTTCTAATTTGTTTAATATAATAGTGTTTTAGTAAGTATTCTGTACATAACATTTCCAGCATATTTGAATATTCACCATACATGTGGGAAACAGAATGATTGAGTTGAAGAGTGAGAATGTTTTAAATTTTTAGATACTACCAAATCATCTTAAAAGAACATTTATGGGTATTTATTCCCATCATCAATATAAAGAACACTTGTTTCCATCAATACTTGATATTGTCTGTCATTTAAACTTTTGTAAATATAATAGGCATAAATCCAATTAGAACTTTTTTGTAGTAAAAAGCATTTCACAGATTTGTCACATATCAATCTGTAGTGATCTTTATGTAATTCATTTATATCTTATGTTATTTGTGTTATTTTTTATTTAACTCTTTCATATATCTCTGTGTTGGTTGGCTTATTCTTTTATTTTAATTTGTAAAACTTGCTTATAAAGTTTGGATATTATTGTTTTTATACCCCATGATGCCAGCATTCTCATCCAATCTGTTGCCTGATGCTGAACTTCTGTCATTTTTGTTGTGTATATTCAACTATTTAAAATTTTTTATTGTAGTTAGGAATCTACTTTTTTTTTTTTGCTCTTTGCCTTCTGTATTTTGTGCTGCGCATAAAAATCTTCCTTTTTTTCATGAAGCAACGATCTTTCAAATAGTTGTTTGCACAATAACTGCACATATTCCAGCATTTATCTTATCTCCATAGAGATCGTGCAGGTTTTCCATTAAAATAGAGAAGATTTATTACTTTAAGTAATGTGACTTTTGACATAATCCTTCCGGTATGGTGCTTCTCTCATGTAGCCATAATAAGGTAAACATTAAATAACATCTGGTATGTTTGACCTCAAACATGAACTTAATAATTTGTGTATATTATAGTAGGCCTATAGCTGCACTCCCAACTTTCCCTTTGAGTTGTTAACCAAAGTGCTTCTGTATTTGCACGTTTTTTCTCAGTTCAACCATACTGATTTTAAATGTCAGCTATTTAAACACAATTACATAAAAATCACGGGCAGGAAATTATTTTAATTCTCACTGCTTAACAAAATGATGTGGTTTAGGTGAAGACATGAAATATATAAATTTAATTTTTCTTTCAGTTTTGTCCAAGCAACATGCTTCGCAAGTCCTGATTAGAAAACGCCGTGCAAACACCGCAATTGAAGAATTTAAGAAGGGCAACCTTGAAAGAGAATGTATTGAAGAACTGTGCAACAAAGAAGAAGCCAGGGAGGTCTTTGAAAATGACCCTGAATCGGTAAGAATTTATAAAACTCTTAAGTGAGTATGTTTAGGCATACAGTTACCTGAGAACATTTCCAGTGTGCTGTCTTCACCTGCATTCCTTTTTAAAGTTAATGACTGTGTGTGTCATCTTCCACATGTAACTACCCAAACATTTCAAGGGGAAATACCTTCAAAGGAAGATTGGCTTGTTAGGACACACTACTGCTAAAAGCAAAGAGTTCTGACCAAATTATAATTCCATTGTATCTCATTATCAGAAAAGAGTATTGACTTCATGGCTTGTAAATCTATTTTTTCCCACCCAGAATTTGGTTGCGATAGGTAGAAGGGAGGTCATCTCGAATATAGTTTTTGTTTGTGAAGAAGAGAGAAAGAGATTACATTATTATCACTGTGCTTCACTAAATTCATATATGCATTTAAATCTAAGCGCTTTTTTTTTTTAAAGATTTATTTATTTATGCATAGAGCTGGGATACAGGCCAGAGGTACAGGGGCAGTGAGAGGATTCACCAGAGCTAGAGTGGGGAACAGAACAGGCAGATTGATGAAGTACAGTGCTGAGGGAAACAATAGGCATGACAATAGAGGTCTGCTGGGCAATGTGGGTCACCTCTGGGGCATGGGATCGAACTCTCACTGAAGCTGCTGTGGTTATCTTACAGTGCAGTGCTTTAAACCACTGTACCACCAGGGAAGGCCCTAATCTAGGCTTTAATAAACAAGATCCTCTAATCAAGAATTTGGTGCTTAATAAGTATTCAGTAAATTCTTTGTGAAGAGGTCATTCCAGTACTATGTTCTATGAGTATACCCCATGTGTATATGCCTTGAGATGTTTCCTGAATCCATTTTATAAGCCCCGGGATTAGAATTTATATATTTAATATATGAATTGTCCCAAGTTAGTCAAAAATAAGTTAATATTGTGGACTCCTTAGTGTCAGACAGAAATATTCAACCACTAGACCTTGTCTCTAGGTCTCGATTTTCCTAGAGGTGAATGCTTTCTATCATGTTCTCTGGACAGCAGGAGTATAAATAGTTTAAAGAATGGGTGGGGGGAGGGGCTTAAGAATTTAGATATGATGACCTTTAGGATCACCTCTTTAATTTTCCTTAGACTATATAACCAAGAAGAGATGAGGAAGAAAACATACACCAATTTCCTTCTTTATCTCTGCCACAGTCTGAACTGGTTAATACATGAAAGACAACAAATAAGAATAATTTGTAGTTAGAAAATTTGTCTAAGCCAACTATCAATTCATTCTCTGGGATTGTCCTTTAAACCTTTTTCACCTTTTTCTAGGTTCAATGGGAAGTTTTTCCAAGTGGTTGGAAAGAATCCAATGGCTAGTTTTCAATACTCTTTAGAATTGAATCAAAATGTTTCTCTCTCAGTTTTGTTGCTTGTTGTAGATAAGCAATTGATACAATGATCATATTTTATTCCATACTATATAGCAGAGTACTCTTGTTATGTAAGAAATAGGAACACACAAATACATACTTACAGATGCATACATTAAAATACATAAATACACATTCTTTATTGATATGCAAATTTAAAGTATATGCCAAAGGACATGCAAGGATATAACAGACCCAAGACTTACGCCTTCCCTAATTCAGCTACTACCAAATCTTGTCATTCTTGTTTTGCCGATACTGCACCCTCCTGCTTGATCTGTATATTTGTTTTACTGGAAAATTTTAATGCAAGCCCGTAGGCCTGAGATACCGTGTTATTAAATTGCCTATAAATACTTGAATGTGTTTCGAACACTATGTAAGTTTTTATAACTTAGTCTCTGAGTAGCAAATGGCAAGCGTGTTGGAGAGGAGGGAAAACAGTGGAGAAGGAAAACTTCATGCATGTGCTTCCATCCCTCCGATTCATTCTGATACTGGTTTCAATAACAGAAGACAAAAGTAGGCCAAAAATGCCTCCTCTATCAAAGGAAAGAAAAAAGACTTGGTACTACATTTCATTTTCTGTCTGTTCCTAATCATTCCCTGTCCCTAATGTCTTTTTACACTGATTCCCAGACTCCATCTTATTGCTTATCTTTCCACTGTCTCTAGTACATTCCATTCATCATCACCTCATCTTCTGAATCCATTTATTGTTGCCTATCCTCCTGGATTTTGCTCTGTAGAAGACAGAACTACTGCCTACATTACATGGGGGGGAGCCAGCCCAAAGCAGACAGATTAGTGTTGTGTAAGTTATTTATTACAGACAGACAGAAGGAGTGAACATTTTGACACTACACTGGATAAAGTTATGTCCTGTACTGCTGTATGTTTTTGTTGGAAAACATGGTGTCCCACAAGATGTTTTTTGCTGTTATTGCTACATACAGATATAATATGGTATAAAAAAATTTGTGAACTATCCTGGGAATTTTACTACCGAAAATAATTTTTAGTATTTTTCTCCCTTTGGTAAAATGCATTTCTTAGTTCAAATTATTGATTTGCAGACATACTTTTTGTACATAATCAATTTATGAGTATGCAACATTTATATAAGATGCTAAGAGATAAATGTTCACTTTAATTCACATCAAATTATGGGAGTGTTACTCAACATTAAATCTGGTGTATGTATCTATGTGATCTATGCCCCATGGGCGTCATTATGGAAAATTAAAAAATTGATAACAGAGGGCATATATGATTACATTTGGCATCTTTAATTTAACCTGCTTTTAGAGTTGAAGGTTTTGAAAGATAATTTAGTCAGTTGACATTGCTTTCAACCTAAGCATCTTATTGACTTATTAGGTATCTATTCTCTGGTAAATGTTACTATAAGAAAAAATTTCATGTATGGAAATGACTGTTATATATAATTTATTTGCATCTTTAATATAAAGCAAATTATAAGGTAAAAGTAAGTTTTAAATTTATACTGAAACCTACGCTTGCTAAGATATATTTTTTCTTTTATTTTTTTCTAGGATTATTTTTATCCAAAATACTTAGGTAAGTTCAAGAATCTCAATCATGCAATTTTAGAAATGGAAAGGAACTTAGATATGGTCAAGTCTAACTCTCCACCTGTATATTCCACCAAATAATTTCACTGCCTTTAAGAGATCTCATCCTCTAGGCAATCTTGATTATTTAAAGATATATAGACAAATTTGGAATGGGCCTTTTATTACCACGTGGCATTTTAACTTTTAAGTCTTTTTCATTCTCATGTCTTTCTGAAAGATTTGTGGACTGATGCAAAGTTAAATTTAGGTACCAGGAATTATCTATAAGTATGTGTATTTTCATGGGATATCTTTCTATAAATGAGATATGACCAACATGTAATTTTATATTAGATTCAGGTGTACAACATGTTGATTGAATATTCATATGTGTTGTGAAATGATAATTTTAATGAGTCTGGTTAATTTCTACCACCACACATAGTTACAACCTTTTCTTCTTGAGATGAAAACATTTAAGAACTTCTATCTTAGTGACAGTCAATCATACCTCACCATATTATAAATTGTAGTCATCATGGTTTACATTACATTATTATTTTAATGGAACTAGGGTTACTGTTAGTGAAATGAAAGAACTCTGTGTATTCCAGAGCTTAATGTAGGACAATTTTCATTTAAGTCTTTGTACAAATCATTAACAGCTTCTCCTCCCTTTGAGCACATTTCATCATTCCCTGCAATTTCCTTACCTATATTTTACTTTTGAATGTGATACTGGACTGTCAAAAAGTAAGGGAATTTCCACAACTTAATAGATTAGATATTTCAACTAAATATCAATTAAGGGTAACAAGACTTCAGTTTGCTTTAGGCAAATAGTGAAATGTCTTAGTCTAATATTCCTTGGGAGAGTTGTCATCATTTTCAAACAATAAAAGCAATATATACTTTGCCTGGCCCACAAAAGTATACTTTCCTTCTTCCTTTGGGCTCAGGATATTCCTCATCCTTACACCTTTCTCCTGCACTAACATCCCAGACAATATGAGGGTCTAAGCACTGCAGAAGGAAAAAGTGAAACTTTTTTGAAAAAACAGTAATAGTTTATATCTCATTTCTAAAACTTTTAACAGTGCTACCATGAAAGGGCGCTGGCATAGAGCTATACACCCATGAAGGAGAGCTCTTTTGCAAAGTTGCACATGTTGCCTCACTTTCTAAAGCAAAAAGTAAAAGCTTACATTGTTAAAGTGGAGGGAAAAGTTAAGACTGCTTCAGTTTAATTTTAAATAGAAATTTAAATGTTTCTAGTGGAAATAGATAATATTGATAATATTGGATTATTGAAATAATGAGTTTACATTAAAAAGTTAATATAAGTCCTTGATGGTTAGGTTTACATAATGAGGCTATATTTCTGCAGGGTTAATTCTCAGTAAGATATTTACTTTTAATCACAGAACATATTTGGATAAAAATAAATAGTATTTTAATACAGCATTATGTGTTTTGGCAAGTTCCTTATAAAAGGAACCCTTTCTCTCTTTATTATACCTCTCAAATTTCTTTTTTCAGGCCCTACCCAACTTCTCTGTCTCTTTGTCTTATTTGGCAGTATGGTAGAAAACCCAAATACTAAGAAAAAAACATACGATGTGAGCTCTCAACCCAGATTTTAAAGTTTTTGTGGTGTCAGGTTAAGCAAATTTTTTGACTTTTCAGGTTATATTTAATATGTACTTTTCTGAACTTCAGAACTGTTGGAAATATCAGATAAGTATATTGTGTTGATAGGATTTTTACCTCATTGGACTTACTTCAAGCATCACATATTATTATTTAATACTTATATTTTATATGTGGGCATTTTATAACATATGTGGGATAAGTCCCACTATTGAAACTAGACAAAGGTAGTATATCTAAGTTAAACTTATTTGTCACTTGATGTGTGTATTTTATAATTCAGTGACTCTAAAATAGTTCATAACCCTGATCTTGGTAAGCTTAACTAGCCAGCCATGCAGCTGGCTCTCCATAATGTAATTCTAAGTGCACATTTCCATGAAAACATTATCACACATATATTAGTATTTACATGTACATACTGAGTTAAACCTGCTTTTTAATCTGACCCAGGCTCATAATCGCCACATGAAACATTTTACCTAGATCTCTAGTTAAAGGGACCAACTTTGGTTGTCAAATTTGTTGAGAATACAGAGTAAGACTTTCTTAGAAATCATAGGCAGATCCACTGAAAAACCCTGCAGAGGGAAGCAGTGGGTGGGCCAGGAGAGCTCTGTCTTGCCATGTGGGTTACCTCCCTGGCTGGGGATCAAATTCATGCTGCAATAGCTTCAGATAGCTTCACAGTGCTGCTCTCTAACCCATTGCTCCACCAAGGAGGTCCCAGAAATCACAATTTTAATGAAATATCCCCACCAGAATAAACTAATTCAGGTGTTTAGTTTTTTGGGTTTTTTTTGGCGGGGGGAGGAGGACAAATGAATATTCAATTCCTATAACTTCTTAAATCTAATTAAGTCTCTAAAAGGACACTCAGATGCATATAGGTATTATTTCTATGAGAAAATAGTCTAATACCTCCATTATTTTAATGGAGCTATGGTGTCCTTTTAGTGAAAGGAAAGAACTCTGTGTATTATGTAGGAAAATTTTCATAACCCCCAAAGAACCTAATCTGAAAAACCTATGCATTTTACCTTAAATGACAAAAGAGATTTTGAAAATTAAATTTAGGATCTTGACATAATGATATTACACTGGATTATCTGGTTGAGCCCAATATTATCATCAACATCTGGAATGCGGGAGGCCAGAAACTAGATTTGGTAGTAGGATATATGAAGATGAAGCAACAGTTGATTGTGACATGAGAAGAGGCCTATGGGACACTGGCGGCCTCTAGAAACTGAAAAAGGCAAGGAAACACTTTCCTTATTAAAGTCTCCAGAAGGCATGCAGCCCTACCAATCTGAATTTCAGATGATACTTACTGTAACAATGAATTTGTGTTGTTTTAAGTTACTTAGTTGTGATGATTTGTTCCAACAACACTAGGAAGCTAATACACAAAATGACTTCACATGAGCCTTTGAATCATCTGTGATAAACTACATTTTTCAAAGATGACTGTAATGTCACCATGCCATCTCGCCATTACTGTATGACTCTGTCCTTTCTCCCTGCACTGCCATCTCGCCATTACTGTATGACTCTGTCCTTTCTCCCTGCACCTTCAGTGTGATGGAACCTGGGACTACTTTGATCAATAGAATATGGTGGGAGGACAAAATGCCTCTTCACCAGCCTGGCAAGTTTTGCTTTCTTCCTCTTGGAAGCTAGCTGCCATGAAAGAAGTACTACTGTAGGACCAACATAATAAGAGATACTCAACCCTTGCAGAAGCCCAGAAGCAAGACACAGCACATGGAGAGAGCCCAGGAACCTGAGCTGGCAGCCCTGCGAGTGAAAAGCCACTTTGGAGGTGGATACTCTAGTCCCAAACACCTTGGCTGACTCTACATGTAGCAGAGACAAATAGCCCAACCAGATCCTATCAAATACTTGACTAACAAATCATGGGAAAATAAATAAATAAATAAATAAGATTATGTTATGTAACTAATTATTAACATTTGGGGTTGTTTGTTACTCAACAAAATAACCAAAAACTACCTATTCAGTAAGCTGGTGACTACCTGTACAATGAAGTGAGATATATATATATATATATATATCTCACTTCATTGTACATAGCTATATAGTTATGTGTATATATATACATAACACACACACACATACATATATATATATTGTTTTAAGTGGTGATTAAGAAATGTTATTTGCTGGAACTGAATGAACTTTAGTTACTTAAAAGCCCTAAGTATTTTTATCTTTATTATTTCAACTGTTATTTCTACCATTGCTCTCTCTCTTTTTTTTTTTTTTTACAATTTATTTATGCATACAGAACTGGGGGATGGGACAGGCCAGAGGTGCAGGAGTGGTGAGAGGATTCACCAGAGACAGAGTGGGGAGCAGAACAGGCCAACTGACCAAGTACACTGCTGAGGGGAGTGTAAAACTTGTGGGGGTTCCCATTTCAAATGCTGAAGCCTGTAAATCCACAGGATCATGAATTACCTCTATGCACCATTTTCGTGGCATTATATCAGGTCCAGTGATTGCGGTTACCTTTACTAAGGGGATTGCATGTGTTTGTATTTACAGGTTGCCTTGGTGCTTTCCGAGTTGGATCTGGCACGTCTGCCCGTAGGGCAGCTAACATTTATCCTGATCTGAGGAGCTGTGTCAATGGTAAACATCTCTACCATGGAATTAAAAAGCAACAACAACAAAAACAATCAAACAAAACCATAACCTTCAAGTAAAGTATGTCCATAACAATAGAACTGATGTCTAAAAATCAATGAATGAGCCCTTCAAGGGCTGTATGCCTCAGAAAAACTTGGTTCTTAGATGCAAATGAGCCTTTTGTCCTCAAAATGAACTTTCCACCGAACATTTAAATTGCATTGTCCTTACCAACCTTTTGGCCACTGACTTCAGACTTATTTCCGACAGCCTTATTTTGGCTGTTGTTTGCTTAAGCATCTAGTGATGACCAAAAGTTATAGTTGGTTAGTAGGTTTATATAGTTGATAGTTAACTATATAGTTAATATAAGCTATATAGTTTATATAGTTAATAAGTCACTTATAGTTGGTTTATTCTCTGACCTTTTACCATCAATGATATAAATGTGGCAGATGTTTTATGATGTCAAATAGCCACCTCCTTGTGAAATTCACAGAGGGTCCATTGATAATTCAAGAAGATCGTCTGTATTTATCGATTTCCCAACTGAGAGTGAGAGAAAAAGGTGAAGCTGCAAGATATAACTTCGGATGTTTGTCCAAATACTTTGCATGTGGCATCGCCATTACCTTGACATTCATTTATCTGCATTTATTTTCTAGTTTAAAATTGTTGTAATTACACAAGTAAAATAGTTTGAACACGGATATTTAATTTAGATTTTTTTTACTCACCAAAATAGAAAAACAATTTGATGACAAATTCCTGCTGACTACCCTGTTTGCTATCCATTTCAATAATATGTAATTTTTATTACTTTTCAAAAAGTATGGTTTTAAAAGGACTTTTTTTTTTTTAAAATGTCAGTTACTAGGTTTAAATTCAGTTTTGATTTTTTTTTCATTTTCTGGTAACAGAAACTTCCCCTAGCTAACCGAAGCTAGGGGGGGATGTATTTGAAGGATGGAAGAATTTTCAGAATTGAATAGTAAGCCTTAAGGGACAGTATAATAATATGTGGGAACCTAAGGACATTTGCTGTATGTAGTGAAGGGAGAGAGACTGCAAGTAAGTTTAAAAAATGACCATACATACCATTTAGGATAGTGGTAAAGTGCTGTGACATTTTATGGAGAAAATTCCTCTCTGCTGGGAATAACCACTCTGCTAACTGTTCAGTGTCTTAAAACTTTGTTTCACAGAATTGACCAAAGTTCTTTTTACATAAGGCAGGATGATAAATTTGGTCCCTGTTGCTCTAACTTAGTTTAGTTGGAATTTCTAAATTCTGTTTCCGGTTGTTTTTCAGAGTAGTTTCATTTCTTCTCTCTGCTTCTTAGAGTCATGGAGTAGTTTTTATGATCAAATAAGGTCATAAATATGAGCATATATCTAAATTATACTTTTAAAGTGCTGCATATGTCTGCAAATATATACATGTAGTTTCCATTTGCAAAATAATTATAGAGGCTTGTCCAATGGATTCACATTTTATGAAAACATATTATTTTAAGGAAGGAGTTACATCAATTTCATTAATTAGATACTGCTACATAGGATTTTTGTTAAAAGGCATGTAATTCTATTCAACCAGGCATGTGCTACAGTTAAATTGATATTTGTTTCCTTTAGCCATTCCAGACCAGTGCAATCCTTCACCATGCAATGAAGAAGGAACTGTCAGATGCAAAGATGGCCAGGCTACATTCACCTGTGTTTGTAAATTAGGCTGGCAAGGGGAGACCTGTGAATTTGGTATGTATAATAAACACATCTGGTTCATATGGATTGACCTCCTAAAATATTAATACTTTAAAAATAGCTTATTTCTTTTTTAGATATAAATGAATGCAAAGACCCCTTAAATTTCAATGGAGGTTGCAACCAGATATGTGATAATACACCTGGAAGTTACCATTGTTCCTGTAAAAATGGTTATGTTATGCTTGCAAATATGAAGTCCTGTAGAGGTAAGAGTGAATAGCTAGAATTAAGTGGTACTTACCTTATGAGTGAAATTTCAGTTATAGGAGAGAAAATAATCCAGTTGAAGGAATTTCTCAGGGAGTTTTTAGAAAATTGGGTATCTGTTCTTATAGTAAATAAATATAATTGGGCATCCGTGGTGGCACAGGGGTTAAGTCTTAGAGCTACCAAGCTATAGCCAGCAACTGTTGCATGCGTTCTCTCCCTGGCCAGGATGCTGATCCATATAGTGGTGCAGACCTCTCCCATCTGGCCCTTTGCTCCCCTCAGTGATGTATTTCAGTCAATCTCTTGTTCTGCTCCCTACTCTGTCTCTGGTGAATCTTCTCATCCCGTCCCCCCCCCCCCATGCTGACCTATACCAGAATTCTTGTTTGCATAAATAAATATATAAACATTATTTTCTACTTTGAAGCTTTGTGATATTACATAACTGCCTTTTAGTTTATAAGATATTTTGTTACTTATAGAGTATTTTTCTATTGCATTATCTTTTGTTTTCTTTGTGTGTGTGTGAATCAAAACTCTTTATATGTTGATAAAGTGAAATTTCAGTGCAAGTCCTTGCATACCACAGTCCTTGCAAAATAGCTGTTTTCACTGCTTTGTTTTGAACGATATATCATTATTTGCATTCCAGTAGATAAACAGCTATACAAAGAAATCAACCACAATCCTTAATAATCTTTTCCACTGTATTTTATTGTTCCTTCTCAAAAATGCCATTCTACTTTCCAATACAAACCCTTGCACCTCATTCCCTGTTGTGGTTTTGGGAAACCTGAAGTTCTGGTTTTCCTTCTCTTTAATCATTTAAGGTCACATCATTGGTCATAACTATTGTTTTTTCTTCAGTCCTAAGTAATCCCTGTCAGTTTATTTTTTTAGCAAGCATTTTGTTTTCTTGGTGCTTTTATTTTCTGCAGATTTTGACTTTTTTCACTCTGTACAATGCCTTTTTTATTTAACTGCTTTAATTGCTGTAACTACATTTTCAAATCTAAATGCTAGGTGTGTGGATAACTTAAAAATAAAATTTGCCAGCAGAAAAGAAAAATATGATCACAAACTGGTTAATGGTTTAGAAGAAATTGTTAGTTAATGTAGCTCTCTCTGGAGTCATTTAATAGGATTTTGAATAGTATTATAGCAAACTTTACTAAACTTTACAGTGCAGTGAGACAGGCCCTTTTCCCTTTCCCTTCTCTTCTGTCTTCTTATTGCTGTTAAGTAGCATATTTAGTAAGAAAATGTTAAGCTTTCTTGTTCAACTGTATTCATTTGGTAGGACTGTCGCAGAGGATAGTGTTTAGTACAAGTTGCTATATTGTTATCTACATGTTATTAAATGACTCTAAAATGAACTATGGTGGAGGACTTTCAGTGCTTTGGTGGTGGGTAGGGTGTAGTAACATGAACCTCTAAATCAAATACAGTGTTGTGAACAAATGTTGTTACCTCTGTTACAATGAATGAATGAATGAATGAATGAATAATTGAATAAAATGAGCTACATAAACTAACAATTTCTTCTAAATCATTCTCCACTTCGTGATCATTATCTGTCTGAAAAGCAGAGGTTAGAAATTTAGAATGCCAATATCAGAATAATGCAGGGTACCATATGCATTTCATAAGCAGATAATATTCATACAGACTTCTACACTGAATGCTTGAGTAGTTTCTTTTTATAGAATTGTAACATTTTAATTGAATATATTTAATCTTTATCCATTGAGTTAATATACATGTATAAAAAAGTCCTCTAATAAATAAGAATGTTCCTGATAAACAGAATATATGTTCTTATATACTTCATTTATACAGTCCTTTATCTGCTATACCTAAGTTATAGAGTGCAACAATACTAGAAGAATATGTATACAACTGTTTCGTTAGGGTCTCTGCCAAGCTGTGGATATGCTTGGGATTATGTTGCCAGTAAATATCTAAAAATGCAAGAGTAAAACTTTTCATCAGACATTAGATGTCAGTAGAGCCATAAAATTAATGTGCTATAACCTGAACTCAGATGATTTAAATAATTTCCTGCATTATGCCATATACCATATGCTTTGCTTTTACTTGTACATATTGTATTTTGAAGTAATTGTACATTCACATGGAGATGTAAAAAAAAAAAAACAATAAAAAAGATCCCATGTACCCTTTGCCCCACTTTCCCCAATGATTGCATTTTAGAAAACTGGAATGCAATATTGCACCCAGGATACTGACACTGCCATTGTCAAGGTATAGAAAGACTCCTTTACCACAAGAGATTGATTCTATTGCTTTAGTGCATGTTATTTCAGAGAGCAGTGTCTGAAGTTTTAGTTGATCATTGGTTTGAGGAAAAATAAAATTCAGTTTTTGAGAAAAAGAATATTTTCCATTCTTGTCTTTCTCTAGAAAGTAGTTAAAATTTTTCACTAATAGCTTTTTGTCACTTGTTTGTCTTTATCACAAGTGCTTGTTTAAAAACTAAGTGAAATCAGTATTTTGTTCCTACTTTGCCATATAGTGTAATAAATATACATGAAATTTCTGGAATATAATTTTTCGCACTACAGGTTATAGTGAATTGAAATAACTAGCTTTATAAACATTTTGAATACTTTATGTATAAAAACAGTTGCAGACTTAGATATTGCAGACCTTGATATTATCCATTTCCAAAAGAAATGTGCGCTGTCTCATTTTTACTTGTCATATTTGTGACAATACAGAGTGAGTTCACTTTTGAAACTATTTTGCTCAGGAACTTGTATTTAGGAGTAAATATTAATAGCATGGTGAATTCCTCTACTATTTTATTTTCATACTGTAGCCTGGTACATAAGAAAATAGCTAAAACCATTTCCTTTTTTGCATAACTACAAAGGAACATGGCAAACATCAGTCAAATTCCTCATGCTTTTGTATAAAGAAATTATATGTAGTAAGATACACTATGATGATAGATTTAATATTTTGTTATCCTCAGGGCACTTTGTTGTCCTATTAATATATTAACCTAGATCCAGGAAACACAAATCAAGTGTTCTTTTCTAGCATCTTTTGGCATGGGAAATTTTTTTTTAATATATTGATTTCATTTATAGATGTGGATGAATGCTCTACAAAGCCAAGCATTTGTGGCACAGCTGTGTGCAAGAACCTCCCAGGAGACTTTGAATGTGAATGTGCTGAAGGCTACAGATACAATCCTAATTCAATGTCTTGTGAAGGTAGAGTTGTGATGATATTGTTGATGGTGGCAAGGACGGTTTTGACTCTTGTTTCTATATTAGGAGCATTGGTTCTGTTTGACATCAATAACCAGATTTTCTAAGATGGCAACACCCATAGTCTAGCCTGGTCAGTGGGGTAATCCTTGGCTTCCTTCCAGAAGAAAAGTATGTAAAACATATGGTCTTCAGGTTTAATGTTATGCACTCTGATTCTCCTCTAAGCCCTATATAAATTATAAACCACCCATGGATGAGAAAAATAAAAGTACATACATTTCATATCATTTAAATAAAATTTAAAAATAAAGAGTTGCAAGCTGGGAGGGAAAACACATACATACCAAAGAAAAAGAAGTTTAGAAATCATGTGAGTTGTGCAACATGGGTGGCAAGAAATCTTGGATTTAAGACTAAGCTCTTCATCTATTAGTATTATCATTAATTATGAAACAGGAAGTGACAGTTTTGTTATCATTGTATTATAAAAAGTCATATATTCTTGATATTGTCACTTAATTCTCAATAACATTAAAAGGGATCTCACTTGCTAGTTAAAAGGGATCGCTGCTTCCCTTTCCTGTATTTCTGTCTTTCTCTTACTTTATTTTCTCCCTTCTTCCCATCTCCTGCCTTCCTTTCTTTTTGTCCTTTTTTTTTTTTTAAAGAAAGCATTGTGAGGGACTTCCCTGGTGCACAGGGGATTAAAGTGCAGCAATACAAGGCTATCCACAGCAACTGCAGCATCAGTTTGATTTCCCCCCTTCCACCCCTGCCAGGGAGACATGACACAGCAGACCTCTCCTGCCTCACCCGCTGTTCCCCTCAGCAGTGTACTTTGTCAATCTGTTCTGCTCCCCACTCTGACCACTCCTGCACCTCTGGCTCATACCCCAGTTGTGTATGCATAAATAGATCTCTTTTTTTAAAAAGAAATAATTGGGTTTGGCCCTCCCTGGTGGCGCAGCGGGTTAAAGCACAGCACAAAGAAGCTTAAGCCACTTCCACATGAGTTCGATACCCCCCTGCCCCGGAGGTGACCACATGGCGTGGCAGACGTCTCCTGACCCGCTCCCTGCTCCCCTCAGCAGTGTACTTCGTCGATCTGCCTGTTCTGCACCCCACTCTGTCTCTGGTGAATCCTCTCACCCTCCGCATCTCTGACCTGTAC